AATTTCATCTATTTTTATGTTTTGAATCTTTGCTTTTGATTTTCATTGCATTTGGTTTTTTGCTTAGTGATTACCACAAACTCTGTAGAGACTATTTTACAGTAATATCAGGTTATATTAATCAAACGCTTACTTAATTTTGTTTACCTTCAAAAAAAAACTAAAACAAGACAGGTGTATCTCTGTTGTACAGCACTTGTCTAGGATGCATAGGGACCTGCGCTCTGTCACCAGCCTCACAAATGTAAGTACATAAATGTGAATACTCCATTTTAACTCCACTCCCTCCTCATATTTTCAAGGTAAGTTGTCATGATCTATAACCTTGTAGCTTGCATACTTTTGAACAAATAATGGATATTTTTAATAGATTCATCTTTCAAACTTTGAACTAAGGAGAACCAGGGTACACACCCAGTTGTGTTGCTGGTGCTTTGATTGTGACTTCAGACTTCTCTGTTCACTGGGCATTTTTCCTCTAATTGTCTTTCTGGTGCTCAGCAAGGCCTTGTCTTTCCCTGACCCTTGACTTGGCACCTGTGTTTACTGGTGAATGCTGTGTGGGTGACATAGGAGCTCTGCTGTTCCCAGCCTACTCTGTGAGCAGTGTTCTGCTTGACATGGAGCCTGAATCAGGAAGTCATGTGCTCTGAGCAGCAACTCCCCCTTCACTACTCCAAGGGGAATGATGTACAACACAGGGAATCAACTTGAGTGTATGACCAGCTAACTCTACAGTTGTTGGAGAGAAGTGAGTCAGAATTCTGACAGTAAGACATTGTGTTTGTCTTTTCACATTGTGTCAAATGTGCACTTGTACCAAAACACAGAATGGAAGATACAGATTTATCCACATGTGGAGTCTTCCTATATGACTGAGGAGATGTGATCACTATCTCTGGAGACAAGGGGAAGATTTCCCTTTTTGCACCATGAGCAGTAAACCTTTTTCTTCCTCTTTGATGTCAGCATCACTTCAGGACTCATGCTTGCAAAAGAAAAGTGACAGAAGGTAGGGTTCTTGTGGAACCAGAAGCTTTGGGAGCCTTCCTCTTGCTCCTTATTTGCTTGTCTGCTGTGGTTGGGGGCATAGCCTTCCTAGGGGCCAGTGAGTTTGCAGGAGTTTAAGCAGAAGGAAAGTTCCTGTGAAGCAGAGGTTAGGTGCACTCACACTCACCAGGACATGGATGGGGCATGTCCTGCACTGGGTACCATGGAGATCTGGGAGTGACACACCCACCTCCCAGCTCCAGGCCCACTGCAGGTAGTGTCTGACCACTAGCAGTGATCCCATTCCTCTTGATGATGTTTACAGAAAAGAGTATAGCATGCATTCCAGTTCGACCAGATGTACATCTGTGAAGAAAATTTTCAATATTATTATGACAGTTTCTTGAGTAGAATCTTATAAATACTATGAATTGTATATATAGAATTAGGAATGTGGCTCTCAGTTTTTGAAAGAAAAACACTCACATTCAAAAAGAAATTGTAACTCTATAAAGTAGAAAAAAGTGTAGAAGTGGAATTATTATATTATCAATCTATGCTGCTCCCCTCCCCTGACTCAGGCAAAGGAAAGGCCCTACTGAGGTGGATGGTGCAAGGTATCCAACCTCTGGAGGAGCACAGTATGTTTCTTGGAATGGGCTGGTTTGTTTTTGTATTCCTGTTAATAAGTATAGTTGCAACTTCTCATATGACCATTAAGTATGAAGGAAAAAAAACATGACTTTCCCAATTAATGCAACCACTTCCAAAGAATAAATCTGTTTGCTCTAAATGCAAAGATTCAGCTTTGGAATGTAAATTGATAATGTTTAATGAGAAATCCTTTATAGAAAAACAGTCAAGGAAGTTTTTGAGAAATTAAACTAAAATCTAGAGAAGAAAAATTAATATTAAGAAGACGGATTTGTGCTTGGTACTGGGCAACTTGTTCTTGTTCCTGTGCACAATGGTTTGGTGTTCTTACTCTTGTTTGATTAAAATTAGTAGCCTCTCTTTTCAAGTTAACCACATGCCATAACCACGGCGCCAGTTCTAGTCAGTAAGTCAAGAAAGAATAGTCAAGGTATAGGCCAATAGTCTGGGACATTTCTAACTATTATTAAAAGCTAACTAAGCAGAAACAGCTCAAAGCAAAATGTGAACTGAAAGTAAAAATGCTTACTTATTCATAAGCCAAGATATATTCTTTTTATCTAATTGTAGCTACGTAATACTTTGTTTCTTTGAATAATGATTCCTGATTTATAACCACAAAATACTGGGAGCCTGCCAAAATGAAAAGTATATATGATTAACTTCACAAGTAAAGATTGGGATTCAGCCCCTTCACTTCGTGTC